GAGCGACCAATGAAATGTAATGACACTAGGGGTCATCCTATTTTTATCATTACGAAAACAAGAGGCCCAGGGGCCACATCGCTCACTTGAGCAAATCGGCTAGGAAAAACACAAATCAGATCAAAACTGAAAAGTTAACGGGGGGTGGGGGGCTTGAATTTAATACTACTTTAGAATGTCTTCATATTAATACAGCATATGACTTTGCTGTTCTTGATAAAAATATTTTTTTAAAACATTTTCTTCCTATACTATCACTAATCAATGCTTTGAAGTACTTGAGAAGTACTTGGGAAGACGATTTTTAAAGATTTTTCCTATATATTCCTTTGTAAAAATTGGATCGGTCATTGTGGCCCCACTCTACCCTCGGGGGTCATGATTTGAACAAAATTGAATCTACACTCCCTGAGGATGCTTCCACATGAGTTTCATCTTTCCTGGCCCAGTGGTTATTGAGGAGAAGATTTTTAAAGATTTTCCCTATATACTCCTATGTAAAAATTTGATCGGCCATTGTGACCCGACCCTCCCCCCGGGGGTAATGATTTGAACAAATTTGAATCTACACTATCTGAGGATGCTTCCACATGGATTTCATCTTTCTTGACCCAGTGGTTCTTGAGAAAAATGCCATTAATTTTTCACTAATTCAAAATTATCTCCCCTTTGAAGAGGGTATGGCCCTTCATTTGATCAAACTTGAATCCCCTTTACCTAAGGATACTTTGTGGCAAGTTTGGTTGAAATTGGCCCAGTGGTTCTTGATAAGAAAAGGAAAATGTGAAAAGTTTACGACAACGACGACGACAACGACAGACAACGGACAAATTTTGATCAGAAAAGCTCACTTGAGCCTTCGGCTCAGGTGAGCTAAAAAAGCACATGGTAAATAATAATGATAGACTTTACAAGTAAAGACATCGAGAAACTCGTGGCTTAATGAGAAGGGGAAAATGACTTGTGGAATATATAAAGCAGTGCATAGTACAATGATACACACTGCTATCAGAGCCTTATCCTTCATTTTTATTAGCTCACCTGAGCCAAAGGCCCAAGTGAGCTTTTCTGATCAAAATTTGTCCGTTGTCTGTCGTTGTCGTTGTAGTCGTCGTAGTCGTTGTCGTTGTTGTAAACTTTTCAAATTTTCATCTTATTCTCAAGAACCACTGGGCCAATTTCAACCAAACTTGCTACAAAGTATCCTTGGGTAAAGGGAATTCAAGTTTGTTCAAATGAAGGGCCACGCCCTTTTCCAAGGGGAGATAATTATGAATTTGAGAAAAATTAATGGCATTTTTAAAAAATCTTCTTCTCAAGAACCACTGGGCCAGGAAAGATGAAACTCATGTGAAATCATCCTCCGGTAGCGTAGATTCAAGTTTGTTCAAATCATGACCCCTGGGGGTAGGGTGGGGCCAAAATGGCCGATCAAACTTTTAAATAGGAATATATTGGAAAATCTTTAAAAATCTTCTCCTCAAGAACCACTGGGCCAGGAAAGATGAAACTCATGTGGAATCATTTTCAGGTAGTGTAGATTCAAATTTGTTCAAATCATGACCCACAGGGATAGGGTGGGGCCAAAATGGCCAATCAAAGTTTTACATAGGAATATATAGGAAAAATCTTCTTCTCAAGAACCATTGAGACAGGAAAGACGAAACTCATGTGGAATCATTTTCAGGTAGTGTAGATTCAAGTTTGTTCAAATCATGACCCCCGGGAGTTAAGGGTGGGGCCAAATGGCCGATAAAAGTTTTAAATGGCAATATATAGGGAAACCTTTTAAAATCTTCTTTTCAAGTACTTCAAAGCCATGCTTAGTGATATTTATAGGGAATCATCCTCAGGTATTGTAGATTCTAGTTTGTTCAAATCATGACCCCCTGGGGGGTTAAAATTCAAGCCCCCTCCCCGCCCTCAGTTAACTTTCAGTTCTGATCTGATATGTGCTTTTTTTCTAGCCAATTGCTCAGGTGAGCGATGTGGCCCCTGGGCCTCTTGTTACTTTGACAGAGAGAGAAATATGGCGGGGAAAAACACGTTGGAATACGTAGTTTATTTACAATCTTATAAGATATGTATTAGCGTGAGTACAGGAAAGTATTATAATACAAAAGTATTATAAAACTTGCATTATACTACAAATCTTATCGTGTATACCGGCCTTTAGAGTCGAGGAGAAAGGAGTGTTACAACGCACTTTGAAAAATTACGCACTTTGATTTTTTTCAAAGTGCGTTAAATTTGAGACAAAGCTAATTCACTTTTAAACAAGAGGCCCACGGGCATTAAAAGTCACCTGAGTTTCATGTAACAATTTTCCACCAATTTAATTTGGTCCGTGTTTTAACCCAAAAGCCATAAAAGTCACAATTTTGAAAGACGCACTATTGTTTAACATAGTTATACACTTAGCATACTTACTTATTATTCAGATATTGATCAGAGTGACAAAGAGAGAATGCATTTCTACTTTATATTTACCAGCTGTGCACATTTTCCTACAAGAACCAACCATGGAGCCACCTATCTAAAAATTTTGTGAATTTTATCATAAATTTTATTTCATCATAAATGGTTGATTAATACCAAAGAGCAGATTTCAAAGCATTAATTTATTTTCAGACTAAATCCCCCCTCTAGTACCCCTGACCCAGGGGGCCTGAAATTATTCATTCTTGAAGATGAACAATTTTTCATCACAAATATATACTTAGATCGTTTGCATAAAATCCAGGAGTGAAAGAAAATATTTTCAAAGAATCTAAGCATTTTCACTATACATGTATAATTATTAGAGCCCCGTCCTAGCACGAGAACCCATCAACCCAGGGGCCCTGAAATTCCCAAACTGGAAAGAAGCTTCCTTCTTCATCTTAACTATGTACATAGTTATTTGGTTTAATACCTAGGAGCAGAGAAGAGGATTTATAGAGAATTTATGCATTAAGAATTTATAATACATTAACAATATAATATGTAAACTATTTTCTGCCTGCTGTAATTTTATGCAAATTTGAATTTTTGCAGATTAACAGCTTGATGGAGATTTGGTGGATTTTGTTCAGCTTTTTAACTGCATCATGTATGGGTAAGTGTTTAAGTACACTAAAGTATCAGTCTCCTTTTACTTTGAATTAATATAAGTTAACATTAATAATATACAATTGATTAGTTATTTATTATTGTTTGACCCCGATTCGGCAATATATCAGCCACATTTCTGCACAATTGGTCAGCACTAAACGTCCAATATTACTTGACTTTTTAAGTAATTGTTAAATGACATTTCATAACAAAACCTAGAATAGACTCAATTAAGACAAATGATGAATTTAATTTTTTTTCCAAAACAGGACAACTGAATGTCATTCACAGCAGACCCCCGTCTGTTTACATACAGCCATATTCTGAAGTTTATTTTAATGAATTTGAACCTTTGAGACTTCCCTGCCAGGCAGATGGATTACCAAAACCAACGTAAGTATTTGATTTGAATATGTAGCGAACAGGCTCGGGGTAATGCCAAATATAACGGTAATTCCCTACAGTAATGCTAGTAAAGTGGAATGTCAAAACAATCTCCATTACACATGATGGTTATTAACTGAATTATTTCTTGAATCTAGAGTGATGTTGGCTTTACACATTATATTATAATGCATCATTTTTGTACATATTTTTTCATCTTATAATTCATAAATGGTCATAGAAATAAGTTATATTAAATAATCTTTTAATGTAAGAAACAAGAATGGAACAATTTAACTTCATATCGATTAAATTTTTTGTATCTTTTACATGTATACACTTTGATGTGTTTGCCAACATAATATCAGATTTATTATAAAATTCTACAATTTGCATGCATACGCAAATAATTCATACCTATATTACACATGTAGATAAGCTTTAATTTAAAAACAATCATTCAATTTCTGCATTTAAAAATACTAATTTAGGAGAGACATACTTGTTGAAATTGCTCCACTGATTCATCAATATTGGTACCGTATATGATTCATTTTATGACCCCTTCATTGAGTCTATCAATTTCGTCATCTCTGCATATTTCTCCCGTTGCGTTTGTGTAACTTTCATTTCGACATCTAAGACAAAATGTTATCCTTGTTTACTTAATATATATCGAAAATTCAGCTTTTTTCCTGTTAATAATTTATAAGAAATGAAAGAGAGAAAAAAGAAACAGATAAAATAAAAAATGTTTCACTGCACAAGGAAGACAAAGAGGGCGTAACGGGTAGGACACAAGGGATGCCTACTCTTCAATGGTATCTGATTCCAATGCTAGTATTTTGTATATAGAGCCTGTGTTTGTTCTGCTCCTGATTGGTACAAGGGGAATACAATGGAATTTCGTGCTTGAATATGAATTGTTTGAATATGCTTTTGTGTTGAATACTGTATCCTTATCTCCATATTTTATCACTTTTTCAAGACTAAAACTGAGAGAAAGGGAAAGAACATAAAACAAAAAAAGGGAAGTTAGCATCCCTTGCAGTATTGATTAACGGAGAAAAAAATCCACAAAAAGCGCAATAAATACACATTTCTATCAATTGAGGCATTGTAGCTCTCTGGTTCTTTATCTCAATTTTTCAGACCAGCAAGGTATACAGATCTGCAGCTGAATTTACATAAGAAGCTACAGATTTATAAATAGTTAAAATTTAAGAAACAATTTAAGTGCAATTCAATTGTAGTTTTGGGGGTTTGTTAATAAATGTACATTTTATCCTTATTTTTTTTTCCAACGTGAAGTATATTTATATATTTTTAATAAGAGAAACTTCGCATAAAAGTTATTGAGATATGAAGTGTTAAAATGGTTGAGCTTTAAGTGAACGATTTTTTAAGCAAACAAGAGAACCCCGAAAAATTGAATGCGTATTTTCTGTTTTGAAAGTCGATTATACATTACCAATGTTCAAGCAGAAGATTATAGAGAAGGGAAGGCCTACCTCTGTATGTGCATTAATTGCTTTTTGAGGGAAAACACTTATGATAACGACAACTTCATTATGCCAAGTGGAAGTAAGAGAAAAAATATATTGAGATAGAATTCTGAACTAAATGTTTTTACTTAGAGTATTATTCACAGCAGCTTATTAACAATAAGATAGAGCAGGTGCTGTATGTTTCGTTAAGCCTTTCAACTTGCGGCTGAATTTCTTAAATGTATATTTTTATACCCCCCGCTTGAAAAGTGGGAGGTATACTGTAATTGGTATGTCCGTCCGTCCGTACGTCTGTCCATCCGTCTGTCTTACGCCTTTGGGTACCCATCTCTTATCCGCAACTCCTCTTATACCACAGGGTGAAATTTACTGAAACTTTCACAGAATCTTTAAAACATATTGTCATTGTGCATCTCTTATTTTACTTTTTGACCCGACACATATTTTTGGTTTCCCGGCCACAGTAAAACATGGACTTCGCCATTATAACTATATGGGAGGCGGGTGGGATCATTTAGTGAGCTCATTGCTCATAGTACCTCTAGTCTTGGCTGTTTTATTTGCTGGATATTAGAATTTTTGATTTTTTTTAAAAGAAATTAACCAAAGTTTGGAGTACCTGTCTCCATGAATCATTTTTGTTTTGGAAATAGTAAAAAAAATCATGCAGCTTAAATCAAATGAAAATTTATTGCATCACCCCTGAATTGATATGTTTTTTGGTTTGGTTTTTTTAAATGGTTCTCCCACTTTGTAGGGCAATTAAGTTAGTCGTTTTGATATCATTTTCTATTATTTATATAAACATCCTTACAAAGTAAATATTCAAGTTTGGGCATTGATAAGTGGGTGAACAGATAAAATTAATTTGTTAAACATTCTTATAAATACTCTTTTACGATAAATATTTTCGTTTTATATTTTAAATAAAAAGAGGAAAATATATTCGCGGATAAGAAAGGAAAGTTGAAGAGGATGGTATAATAATGAATTATCTCGTTAGGAAGAAGCTTCAAAAACTAAATGCATTTGTTTTGTACCGGTTTTGTAGAGTAGGTTTTTCACCCTCAAATCTTTTCTCCGAAAAACTGGCTCTAGAGTAGAATTTTCCCCAGGAACACTGGCTCTAGAGTAGGATTTCCCTCCAGGAAAACAGGCTCTAGAGTAGGATATCCCCCATGGAAATCCCACACCAGAGTCAATTTTCCGGGGGAAAATTCTACACTTTGGAGTAGTTATGGAGTGCGATTTCCCCCAGAGCCAACCCCCCCCCAAGATATAATTGCTCTACTTATTTTTGATGAGGAATGGTTGGCACATTGCTACAATGTACAAGTGTCCCTTCTTCAAAATGGTGACCAATTGTATTGAACATACGTACACGACAAATGGACATGATCATTTTAAATCTGATTTTTCTTGGCTACCGTGGAGCCTTTTTTTAATTAAAATAAATTGATGAAATTTGAGAGAGCTGTAAGTTTCCTCTGTGTCTGTCTACTTGTCCATCCGTCTGTGTGTCCCTCTGTCTGTCTATATCCCAAATAGTTTTTCCGCACTTTTTTTTAGATGCTTGAAGACATTCAGCTGATTTTTGGCATAGGAGTATGTAATGTTTAGGAATTTATTAGATTTCTATCACAATCTGTTTATAATTGATTTGACACGTAAGGAAAGTTAGCTCTCTGACTCTCACAGAGTTCAGTAACCTACTGACATTATTCTGAAATTGAGTCACCTACATTTCCTGTTTCCCAGGCTCCAAAGACATAAAATATAAAACGATTTTGGTACAAAGACACTTACTTGCTAACTGATATCCAATGTAGTCAGGCTGTATATATATTTGTGCTTATTAGATAAACTATATAAGATATATACCGGTGTTGTTTCTGATATATTACAGAGTATATCTGGATGAGTTAAAGTTCAAGTATGCATTTCGTTTCGCTTCATTTTTTTTTTAGGAATTACGACCTTTTCCTTTTTTTTTTTTTTTACAGTTTTTCGCAATGTTTTTCTAAACGATTGGCGATATAGAGCAAATTTTTGGTAGGCAAATTTCAAATTTGCACTTCGTTCCACTTCAATTAATTTTCACAGAATAATGACATTTTCAATTTTTAGCTAGATTTCACTTGTCGGAAGGAAACAAGTATTGCTAACGCAATACCCTCATAAAGCCTGCTATACACGTATTGTATAATGTAAATATAACATGTCAAATATGAAAATCCATAAGGATAAATTACACAAACAAACTTTTTCTATCGAAATTCAGAAATTTTGGCTAAATAAGATGCCTTTCTCAATTTAAACGTGGTATTTCTTAAGTGAAACAACTTAATGTATGAGCAAGCCAAAATGAAATAATTTGACGAAAAGTTCAATTATGCAACTTTACAGTTCAATATGTTTCTTAAAAAATATATGAAATATATGAACTTATCTCAAAGTTTCTGGGGACATTTTCAAGAATGTATTTTAATATTTTACACAATCCAGACCTCCATTTTTTGTTTGTTTCATCATATTTTGAGAAAATTAACATTTCCTTTGAAAGCTATATTTCGTGATTGAAATTTCATGATTTAAAAAATACGCTTAAAGAATTCTTATAACATATGTTAAAAAAACACTCGTTTATCTTTTAAAATCAGTTTGTCGCTGATTTTTTTTTTTTTTTTTTTTTTTTTTTTTGCAAAAATGTTGCGACTGTGGTTTATATTGATTATAACAAGGGGGAAATCTTACTCCGAGAAAGAAAGAGGGGGAAATTTGGCTCTGGTGTAAGATTTTCCCTCGGGGAGAAATCCTACACTAGAATACCATTTCCGGGGGAAAGCTTGCTATGGGGGCAGCGTACGTTTTTGTTAAACCTTTGTAATGAAAAATTGTTCAAATACCAATCTTTACGAAAAAAGTTGAATAATTCTAGTTTCTTATTGGGTGGGCATTAAAGATTCAATGTTTGACCTCTATGCGAGATGTAGGAACTCGATGAGATGTTGGATCACTTACGACACACAAAAGGCAGAGCTTAATGTCATCTCAGTGGCGTCGGTAGTCTAGTGGTTAAGGTGCCGGAAAGGTTGTGAGTTCGATTCCTGGCCGCGGCAAGTCGACGTTGTGTCCTTGGGAAAGGCACTTTAAACGAATTTCTTCACTCCATCCAAGTGTAAAAGGGGTACCTGGCTATAGACAGTGAAAGATATTGTCAGAATGTTAGTGTTTTAGCGCCTTAACGGCAGCTTGAGAAAGATTCTGGATTGTTATGGTCTGCTGGGGTAATAGTGCATTTTAAAGCGCTTTGAGTAGCATTTATGCTAGAAAAAGCGCTATATAAAAACAATCATCATCATTATCAAACAACCATTTGCATTCGCTGGTAGTTAACCTTGACGGACCTGAGGTTTACATCACGGAAGACAGTAAAAGATTAATTAATGTTCATTAATTAATTAATGTTAATAAATTAATTAGATATTTTCATGCAACAGTTTTCAATATATGCCTCTCAATGTGCTTTAAAGTTCTTTGCAAAGCTCCATAAATCACTTCTAATTTCATATCATGTTAATAAACATTGGTATCTAAAAATTTCTACTTTTAATTAGACCTTTCTGAGAAGTTCAAAGAACCTTGAAGCACACTGCGAGGCATATAATGAAAATTGTTGCATGAAAAGATTTAATTTTCAAGCTTCATTTAAACACTTTTTGAATTAAATTATAAATAAAAGAGTTGTCCTTCCTGGCTGGGGGTCGGAGTCCCTTCAAAACATCAAAATAAAAGGTATATCAAAACATTTATTGAATGTGTTCTCGTGCACAATGCGTTTTGTCGACCCTCGAACCAACATATCTGACTTTGATCTAACGGCCTCGGGCAAACATGTTGGTTCTTGGGTCTGACAAAACGCATGTTGCCTCCTACTCAGTCAATAAATGTGTAATGGTACATGTGTAACCTCTGGTTTGTAGCCTCTCCAGTTTTGAGACCTCCTAAGTATCTTTGGGCATCACCTTCTGAACAAATTGGTCTAAAGGGGGAAACAAAGTTTCGCTTGGGGAACAGGAACTCACGATCCCTAACCTGACGGCGGATGATGCCGGACTGTACGAATGTTATGATATAAACACCCAGGGACCCCGAGCCGCCAGAAATTTTGTTATCAGAGTGGAATGTAAGCTATTCGCCTGTAGTAAGAATGCCTAATCCAATAATAAATTATATGTAGTTTGATACAATACAATTTTAGAGAAACGGTAACGTTTCTGAAACAAACCTATCTGAGTTTGAAATGACAGGTACCCTTTCTTTAATTGTTTAATAAACAATTGAGTTAATGCGTGGCAATAATTGTTTTTATTTCGTTAAAAAAATGGGGGGAAATGGAATTTTAGTATCTCATTTGAAAGACCCCTTTTGTATATTTACTTGTAAATCTGAAGAAACACATTCCCATTATATTTTCAAAACGAAATTTCATGAAATTTACAAATTAACATTAGCCAAGCCAAATTGGGAAGATGAGCCAAAAGATGTGGAGACTAGTCCTGGGGCATCTGTGACATTCATCTGCAAGGCAAATGGTATCCCACACCCAAAAGTGACATGGTTCATTAATGAAATCAGGCTGGAGGATATTATACCTTATACTTGCATGTATTACTTTTTTTTAAATAAATAAATAAATACATACATGTACATGTATTTTTAAATCATATTTCGTGAAATATATTCTTTATTTTTATATTACAAAGATATTTCTAAAGTCTGTTTTTTGTTTTTTGTTTTTTTTTTTTTTTTTTGTACTTTTAAGAATATTTGTAATTTTTTTTTTAATTTCAAGAATCTAGGGTACCAATCATTCAAAGTGACAGATTCCTGAAACCAGATGCCAACAATTTGACCTTTGTGAACTTAAACAAAAATGATCACATGGTCATACAGTGTAACGCTTCTAACATCCACGGTTATGTGTTTTCTGGTGTCTATCTTAACGTGTTTGGTAAGTGATGGCATCTTATTTTTCAAAACTAAATAATTGATGAGTCATTTTATGTCATTGAAATTAATCTTTAAGTTCCAAACAACTGGCTGACGCATTCTAAACCTCTGCATGCTTTACAGACCATTTTCTGAATTTAAAATGTAATTTTGTGCGGGGATAATTGCTGGACGGTAAAATACAATGTATATTAATGTGAAACTTTCAAGGGTTAAAGATCGTGATAAATACTAGCCGGGACGTGACTTTTTGTTTGTCGTCAGTACTGCCCGCCGTTTCCTGATTCAAATTTAAAAGGTCGAATTTTTAGAAATGTTTTGTTTCTCGATATTTTTTATTGAAAATCCAGGAATCATAGAGATTTTTTCCAACATGCTTAATATCTAATTTGTTTGAAAATTTATAAAACATTCAATTCAATCAGATGTTTTCTCAGACGCCTGCATAGATTTTATTGCTTACGTCGGAGAAAACATTGGATTGAAATTCTTCTTTAATTTGCAATTGAATTTCAATCCACCTTGACCATTCTCTTAGGGAAGGTGTTATTGATTCATCAAAATTACAGTAAGTATTATATCAATTTCACTATTATATAAAATGAATACAAATAAGACTTTTCTATGCAATTTCTAAAAGAGAAATTAATGACTTTCTCAGGGATAATAGGACAGGGAAGATTGCGTTTTTTGGAAATGAATATTTCGCTTACGAACATATACTCTGTTCTGCAAAGGTAATACAATAGGTAATCTGACAAAGAATTGCGTTCTTCAGTCATTTGATCTGTGAGCACCTGTAAGAAATTCCAACTCATTGCTAGCAATGATAAAAAATGGAGTGTGTCCTTATGTTTTTTTTAAACAATAAAATGTTCATTGCCATCTCGAGAAAAATATTTTGCCTGAAATGGCTTAAAATGATTGACTGATTGATTAATTGTTTTTTAACGCCCCTCTCCTCTTGAGAATATTTCACTCATATTGAGACGTCATCACTTGCTTGTGGAGATTCAATTTTTTTCCTATATTTGGCACTCAAGGACATTAAGCATTAAGGAATCCTTTCGTGTTAGCATCTACTGCGACTCGGGACCTTTGTTGAAAATGTCTTATTCGAAGGACCGGTCTCCACGTCCCACAGTGGATTGTAGTAAACTAAACTTTGAATAATAATTTTGATTCAATGTTTTTTCAGGTGTCTGCGTTGAATTCTACCCATCTATTTCATTGTGATATTTTCCATAATAAGTATTTCTTCTTAAGTGCGCATTCCTGTGTGTCTCAGTATTACTAGCATATGTCTATAAATACATCTACTTGCATACATACATACAAAGATGGAGAGTAGGATGGAGGACCTCTCGTTGCTTGCAACGAGTTTCTAGTGAAACAAATGATTTTATTCTGTACATGTTTTATTTAATACTTGACAAGGCTGTTAAAGTGGAAAGTCACAAATTTTTACTGAATTTTTCCATGTAGATATAGTTGTAGTATTGAGTAGAGGTACTTGTTATCAATGAGAATATCTGTTTTCTTTTAGGAAGTCTGGACCAGTAAAAATACATCTAATGCTACAATCAGGAAATATCCTTTGAACACGAAAGGAAACAAATTCATATCTAAATAATGTATATGTAATCGTTGGAAAGTCAACCTCTTTTAAGAATCTTGATGTAAAAATAAACAAATATAAGCTTTGTTTCATTATCTGTACATGAAACTGTATATGAAAATACACCTGCATTTCAGAAGTTGACTCTATCAGATAGGTCTTGATGGGACGTTTTGTTTCAAGAATTTCTCTGAAACTTTGATCCCGCCCTACCCCCAGGGTAACCATTTGCAAAAAAGATTTTAGAACTTACAATTTGTATAAAAAAAAAAAAAAGGGGGGGGGGAATCCTATTTCCTGTGACACGGGACTTCTGTATACTTATCCAAAGTCATGGTCTCTACGTCCCACAGTGAAATTCGAATCCGTGACGTAATGATCAACTCCGTATTTTGCAACTCTAGAGTAGACATTCTAGCTCTGCTAAAGATAAACATATTTCGGTACATAATGCTATATGAAATCAAAAAAAAACCTGAGAAAAAAAAAATCAGCAAAATAATCTAAAATTGTTTGATGTTTTGCAGTTCTTTTATTTTTGTAATTTCAAATTCATCAAAGAGGCTTGGTTTAAAAATCATATATATGTAATATTTACTTTAAATTTAAATTTTATGCCTTAAATATCGTGAATATGTAAAAAGTTGCAGCAAACATTAAGACTTAAAAAGAATAATTTCTAAGAAAAGACAATTAAATCCATTAAATTGAAAACCAGCAGATAATAAAACAATTATATCTATTCTTTTATCTTTATTATAACAATGAAACATCTTTTCATGGATATTATAAAATGCCACGACAAATAATATTATCTCTTGATGTTGATCTAATTACATTTTCCTTATTTTTTGTCCCCCGCTTTCACTGTACGTGGGGAATATAAATTTGGGTATGTCCGTCCGTCCGTCCACCTGTATAGCTGTTCATCTGTCTGTAATGCTTTCGTTTCCGCGCGATATCACGCGAACTCTTTGATCTTTCGCAATGAAATTTTGCCTCGCAACTTCCTATGGCCTACAAAGAACCTGATTGATTTTAAGGTCAAAGGTCAAAGCCATAAATCAATATATGAACTTTAAGAATTATATATGAAATCAAGAGTCAATCAAAAAGTTCCTGGTCCTCTTTCCTGCTATAACAAGCAAGGTTGTCCGCGCCATGTACGTCTCTATTCTATTCAAGATATTGTAAGAGAATTTCAAATTTATAATCAATTTTGATTTTTTATATGCTTTTCGCTTTTTTTTTTATCCAAAGCATGCTGCGCCACAGTATTTGATAATTTCACCTGAATAAAAATGCTGTTGCGTGTATGACAATAGAGACTTGTTGTTAATGGTAGGGATAATTTCGGCAAATCTGTAAATTTAAATAAAATAATAAAAATGATAAATAAATACTTGTGCAACAATATTAATCTTTCATATCTATTATAGTTGTACAGGTAACAGCTTGTGTAAAATACACAGAAGATAAAATACACGACAGACATTTGATTTTTTTTTTTAATTACAAATTACGAATTTATCTCTTGGCTATGGCAAATGTGTCGAAGCACTGATAAAAGCGGCAGGTAAGTATTTTTTCTCTTGTAATAAAACAATGAATATTTATTTACAGATAATCATTTTTAAGCATACATGTACAACAAAATAAATGCATCCATAATATCAACATAGCTGTAACATATTCTAATTTAATATCAACATCGCTAATTCATTTAAAGATGAACAGCAATAGTCCATATGTTTAACCTGTTTTCAAGTAATAACGCATTATTTTTCAACACAGTATTGAAAATAAAACACAGAGCTAGTAAAACAGGGGACAGAGTTATATTCCGTAAAAAATAAAATAGAATAATATTATTGATAGATGCAATGACTTTATGAAAAGCATTCATTACTCTGAATTTCTACATGTATAGTTTGATTTAGAAAAAACGCAATTGGAATTATTATTATTTTTTGCATAAGGCATCTGAACTGGACAAACGCGTACGGTCCTGGGAGAAATACAATCATAAAATTAAAGGGGTACAATGAATTGCACGTCAAACGTTGCAATATTCGATCTTTTCCATTTATTTTGTATATTTTTTTTTTATTTCTATTGTATGTTTTTTCGCACTGTAAAGTTTTCCATTTGTACGTATTGTAAATGTTTTATTGACATCCCATAAACAGGTAAAATTTTTATTTGCACTGTAAAATTTTCCATTTGTGTTGTAAAATATTTATTAGCATGCCATATAGGGTTAAATTTTCATTCGCATTGTAAAATTTTCCATTTGTATTGTAATATTTTTATTGACATGTCATAAAGGGTTTAGCCTTCAAAACTGTAAAAATGTAAAAAGAAGATGATTAATGCACGTTTAATTGCAACACTTACGAGCAAAGACATATTTAAAAATTATTATATTTACATTTGTAATGATACTTTTTAAATGAATATATGTTGCAGAAAAGTTTTCATGCCACCACTTGCTGTTGGCGGACTGTTAATTAAGACCAATAAGCAGCAAGGAATCGTTTTCTCGCAAAAAAACTACCACGACACTGGACCTCAGTTTATACCGTCTCAACCAAAAGACGGTCTCCCCAATTCCAAACCCGTGATGTTATATTGGACAAAAGAACTATGCTTATTATACAATTTAAAAGCAAATATACAGGATTAAAGTTTATAAAAATTTATTATATGCTTTGAAAATCTTTTTTTTTTAATTACATCAATTTTTTACCTTTAATTTTGTATAGATTAATTTGCAGGATCTCGAGAAAAAATGATAATGTAAACCATGAATACAGACGAACGAACAAAACAGAAGCCGGTCATGGTCAGACTACATCATGGGAGGTTCTGGTTAAGGTGAGTTAAATCATGCAATATACTTTCATCACCTGCATATATCTCAGTTGATTCGATATGCAAGAGCATGCTCTACGTTTGTCTAAAACGAGGTAGATTATTGACAAACAAGTTGACGAGCCATTAATAGAAGCTGTCTCGTTTAAAATCATCATTTCGTAAGTTCTGTGCTTGAAACAAATGCCCATTTCAGCAAAATTAGTATAATTTATCGTTGAGTCAAATACTGTCTGACGTTTTTCACACTAATTGTTAATCCATTATTTAAACACTGGATCGACGACGGGTTTTCCGTTATTTCCCGAACATGACAAGGAACACACAGCAAGTGTGACCTGTCCGCAGGAGATACTCACTCCTTCATAGCACCTCATCCAACCTCCGATGTTTTGTAGGTCCGTGTTTGCTCTGTTCCTATTTTATATTGTTTCATGGACTTTTGATCTTGAATACTGTTCGTTATCTAAATGTGTTTCATTAAATTTTATAAAGGTCATATATGCTTCAAACCATAATTTCTGAAGTATTGCAGCCAAATTGTCATGTAAATTATTAAATGATGATTATAAACGATGGAAATTGCAATTTGAATTATTTGTTGTTTACAACAGTCAATAGTTAGGACGAACATTTATCGGTAAGTTGTACTCGCATCTTATTTTCTTTTTCGATTTTTTACACATATTTCGTCGTGTGTGTGACGCGCAGTTATTTAGAGCGTCTGTCCTATAGACTAGGATTGAGAAGGATTCCCTTAAATCGCGAAATCGAATTCAAATGTGGATGTCGGACCTTCAGATGGCATTGTATAGACCAAGTCCCGCATCGCAGTAGGTGCTTGCATGAAAGGATCTCTCGCTGCTCAATGACTCTAATGGCCGAGTATAGATCTACAGTAAGTTTTCAGAACTTCTTCGGGAATTGATGGTGTCTCCATGAAATATATATATAGAAAACACGAACAGTACTCAAGCTTTAAAGTTCAATACGCAATACGAAATTGGAGCAAAGCAAACACAGACCTCCAAAAAATCAGACGTGGGATCAGGTGCCATTGAGGAGTGAGCATTTGCGGCTCACTCTTCCAAAGCACCTGATCCTACCTCTTATGTTTAGGAGGTCCGTGTTTGCTCTGCTCCTATTGTGCATAGTTTAAAGGACTGTTTAGCTTGAACACTGTTCCATCTCTATATATTTCATGCACGTGTATATTCCTGCTTTTTCTGAAAGGTTCGAATTCCACGGTAGGACGTATCGCAGTGTGTGGTTCATGACTTGAATAAGACTTTAAAATTTTGCATTGAGATATACAAGTAATTTAAAAAGAAGTTGAAATAAAATCATGTTTAAAGATATGAGTTGTTTACTACCTTATGTCGTACTGTAACTATGGATACGAGCGTTAAGGCCATCCATCAATTATGGATTTTATTTTTACATGTACATAAACGAAACATGTATATATCATCTACAGGTTTTGATTGTTTGTTTATGTGTTGTTTAATGTCCCTCTCGAGAATTTTTCACTAATATGTAGACGCCACCACTTGCCAATGCAGATAGCTGCAAATTTTGTTCTATACTCAACACTCGCCAGGGAAGAATCTTTATCGTACAAGAACTACTGCGACAGTTTGTTCGGTCTCATTCAAACGACCGGTCTCTTTATCATATCTACAAGTATAAACTGCGGGAAAAATATCTTTTAATATTTCTTTTAAAACTGTCTGGCCATCTTGATTATATTTGTGTAAAAATAGCAAATTAGTATTGTGAATAATTCGGATGAAGTAGAGTTACAATACGGGATAAAATATCTGGAATGTGAAAAGAAAACATTTTCTTGAACATTTTGACAGAAAGAGGAATCAATGTAACTCAAGCTAAGATTATGGCTTTTAGACCTTTTCATTTTTACAGATCGTATTTTATAATAATTGATAAGATTTGTGCGTAAAAAACACTTTGGTTTGAAGCATTTTATTGCAGTTATGGATAGGATTTCATCTTCAAAGCTCTAATGGGGATCAAAAGAATTCGTTAATCATTGTTTAAATAATAAGTAAATTATTTTCTGCCTGCTTGAATTTTACATAAATTTGTTTAGATTTGTTTGCAGGGTAAAAGCTTCATGGATATTTGGTTGATTTTGTTCAGCTTTTTAACTACATCATGTGTGGGTAAGGGTTTAAGTACACCAAGATATCAGTATCCTTTTCCTTTGAGTTAATATAAGTTAACATTTATAATACAATGGATTGATTATTATTGTTTGACGCCGAGTCGGCAATACTTCAGTTATATTTCCGCACAACTGGTCAGCATTAAATGTCCAATACCACATGACATTTTAAGGAATTGTTAAATTACATTTAATAACAAAACCTGGACTAGCCTCAGTTAAGACAGATGATGAATTTAATTTTTTCCCAAAACAGGACAACTGAATGTCACTCTCCCTAGACCCCCGTCTATTTACATACAGCCAGATTCTGAAGTTTATTTTAATGAATTTGAACCTTTGCGACTTCCCTGCCATGCAGATGGACTACCAAAACCAACGTAAGTATTTGATTTTAACATGTATCGAACAGGCTTGGGGTAAATGCCAAATATAACGGTAATTCCCTACAAATGACAGTAATGCTAGTAATGTGGAATGCAAAAATCTGCATTACAGATAATGGTAATTTAATGCATTGTTTTCTCAAATCTAGAGTGATGTTGGCTTTATACTTCATTTTAATGCATCATTTTTTTTGTACATATTTTTTCTTCGTTATAATTCATAAACGGTCATAGAAATAAGTTATATTTTTTTCATGCAAGAAACATGAATTAAACAATTTAACTTCATATCGATTTAAAATTTTTGCATCTATTACATGTATACACTTTGATGTGTTTACCAATATAATACAAGAGTTATTATAAAATTTTACAATTTGCATGCATACGCAAATAATTTTCATACCTACATGTATATTACACATGTAGATAAGCTTTAATTTAAAAACAATAATTTAATTTCTGTATTTCAAAAATACTTATTTAGGAGAGACATACTTGTTGAAATTGCTCCTCTAATTCATCAAAATTGATTCCGTATATGATTCATTTTATGACCCCTTCGTCGAGACTATCAATTTCGTCATCTCTGCATTTCTCAAATTTCTCCCGTTGCGTTTGTTAAACTTTCTTTCCGACATCTAAGACAAAATGTTATTCTTTTTTACTTAATATATATCGAAAATTCTTTTTTTTTTTCCTGTTAATAAATTTGAAGAAATGAAAGAGAGAAAAAGAAACTGATAACATAAAAAATGTTTCACTCCACAAGGAAGACAAAGAGGGTGTAACGGGTAGGACACACGAGATACCTACTCTTTAATGGTATCTGATCCCAATGCTAATATTTTGTATATAGATCCTGTGTTTGTTCTGCTCCTGATTTGTACAAGGCAATACAATGGAACTTTGCGCTTGAATATGAATTGTTTGCTTTTGTGTTGAATAATGAATCCTTATCTCCATATTTTGTCACTTGTTCAAAACTAAAACTGAGAGAAAGGGAGAGAACATAAACAAAAATCACTTTCACTTATTAAACGCTAAAAATAGTATACATGTGTAACTTTATATGCATGTTCATTAAAACTCGTTTAGTGTGAATACCGATATTGCGATTACAGGGGTAAAGCGAAGTTTATCTTTGATCCCAACTTATAGCAATTAAAAGAATCTTTATACGAATATAATGAATTACGGATATAGCAAAGTAATTTCATAGGTCCAAGAGACTTCGTTATAACCGAGTTTTACTTTATATTGTTTTTAGTTTTGATTCTGAACAGATACAGATGGACATTGAATGGCTTGCACTTGAATGCTGGCAATAACCGGAACGTTGGATTCACAGACAATGGAAGCGGAAGCATCAATATATATGATCCAATTAATTATGAAGGAATTTACCAATGTTTTGCTGAAAACGATTTAGGAACATCTGTGTCAATTAATGTTAACGTAAGGTACGTAATGCTTTTTGTGCTTGATTTTTCTCTGTTATGCATGGAGTATATAGTTCTCATTTCTCTTTCTCAGAAAATTATTTCACAATTATTGCAGGAATATATTTGTACATGTAAAGGAATTGCTTTCAAAATCATTATCTCCGAAACTACTCAAACTTATATGAATTTGTAAAGAATAGAATATTTTGATTTTAGTTAATTAAATCTGCGTCTTAATAACCATGATTTGAACTAAAAGAATGATGACCTAACTGGTTTTGTGTATTGTATTAATGATAATATTAAAAAAATCAAGTTCAACCAGATCTGTTTATTGAATTATGTGCTCACTATTATTTTTTTTTTCAAATATCAAAATAATTCTACAATCAGAATGTCTGAGTCCCAATTCAGAATTTGGGAGCAAATCAAAACCTATTTTAATCAGATTGATATTTCTAGGATGGCAAAGTTGGAAGACTTTGAAATAAAGGCCCCTGTTACTCACCGCCCCCGGCTGGGAGGGTCAGTCATTCTAAACTGCACCCCTCCTTCTAGTTTACCCCCAGCTGAGGTTCAATGGGTGCTTAAAACGCCAATGGGAATTGAGCCTATCGAATACGACAACCGAATCTCAATGGATCATGAAGGTTCGTTTTTAATGCATGCTTAAATGGTGCAATGATTTGTGGTTTTATGTAAGGTAGGAACTTCCCATATTCATGACAACTAATTAATAAATTGGCAATCATATTTAGGATTTTATTCGATGAGTTTTTACTCAATCCCCACATCTATATAAAACTATTCACTAAACCTATGTATATATAATTATGTGTATCAAACCCACAAACCTACGCAGGATTTCAATAAGAATTTATATAGAGATAACCCTTCTCGGAAAATACTGTAAAAATATTACATTTGGCTGTGCTCTCTTTGAGGGAAAGAAACTACAGCTAGTTCATGTACCACATTAAAATATGTCTCGCACATACATATGTATATACATAATAAAAACATTAAGAAATGTGCTACTTGTCAAACTGTGTATATTTATTGCCCACAAAAACTGCGATGTTTCTTGATTTTTTTCAACATTCAAAATATTACTAAACGTGTGTTTCGAATTCGTACATATGAGAGTTTGTTTTGATTTCTATATAATTTACAAAATTTTGCACAATTTTTTAACTTTAAGACAACTTTACTACTTCCATACCTGAACTGCGTGGACAAGTCATGCATTCAAATAAATTAACTAAATGCCACCTCATATGGCAGTTTCAATATTCAAAAAATTCAATGGTCTTCATATAAGGCTCAGGAGGGCTATAAACTTGTTTTGTCGTTGAAGTGGTAAAATTGTATACTATGCATGCACGATCAATAGAAAATTTTGAGAAGGTAATCTAAAATGATGACAAACAGTATTCAAAATCAAAGTCAATTTAATCATACTAAATGAAAGCAAAGCTAACATGGACGTCGAAAACATTAGCGGTGGGATCAGGTGCTTTGGAGGAGTGAGCATCCTCTACAGCATAAATATACGGAGAAACCCAGAAATAGCGCATTTTTTGTGAACAAAAAATACCTTTTTTTCAATTGAGGCACTGTAGTTCTCTGGTCGTCCATCCACATTTTCCAGACCTGCAAGGTACAAATCTGCAGCTAAATTTAGAAAATAAGCTACATATTGATAAATTATTAAAATTTATGTAACAATTTAAATTCACTTAATCTAATTGCACCTTTTGTTTGTTAATAAAATGTACATTTTATCCTTCTTTTCTTTCTACTGTGAAGTATTTCTATATATATTTTGGGATATGTAAGGGCAATTTTTCAAAAAAGTTACTGATATTATAGTGTTGAAATGGTTGAGCTTAAAGTAAATTGGTCTTTTCAGCTAAAAAGAGAACCCCGAAAAATTGAAACTTTTCCGTTTTTGAAGGTCGACTATACATTACCAATGTTCGAGCAAAAGATTATAGAGAAGGAGAGGCCTACGTCTGTATGCACCTTAATTTCTTTCTGAGGAAAAGAACATTTGACCACGACAACTTAATCATCCCAAGTGGAAGTAAGAGGAAAATAAAACTGAGATAGAATTGTGAATTTAAACTATAGTTTAAGGTAGCCTATGAACAAGCAGATAAAAAACTGTTATTAATTGTGTAGCTGAATTTATCAAATTAATAGTTTCTTGTCCGTTTTATTTTCTAGATATTAGAATTTTTGATTTTTTTTAAAGAAAAGAACTATATGCGGTATATTGCATATATTTGCCCCCACAAAAGTCAAATTTTGAAAACTTCCTAAAATGTGCTGAATTCAATAAATTGTATGAGAGATATAAATTAACAGAAAATATTATAAAGTCAAAGCAGTGTATTCACAATTTTTGTTTTCATGACGTCACAAACTAGTCTGATTTTATATCCTTTTTCAGAAAGAGGACAAAATGGACAAAATTTCAACAATTTTAGCTTTAAAATTTATAGAGCGCAAGTTTGTTCAGGAACAATATTGACATATTTCATTGATATTATCATTCTACACATTATATCAAAATATTGATCCTGAACACACATGCGCTCGGTGTCTTTTACTCAAAATATCGTCGAAATAAGTACATTTTTCTGTAAAATTTATAAAAAAAACTGAAATTTACGTCATGTTTGTGACGTCATTACGTACATATGGCGTCATTACTTATGAAAATATTCAGTGCTTTGAAGTCAGCATATACTCCCCTGTTTAAGAACTTAATTAAATATATCTCCATCAAAGTTTGATTTGGGGGGCAAATATTGGTTATTACCGAATAAAGTTCTTTACCAAAGTTTGGAGCACCTGCCTCTATGAATTACCTTTGTTTGGGAAATAGTAAAAAATCAGCTAAAATCAACTGCACTGATATGCTCTTGGTTTTTTAAAATGCTTCTCTTGCGTTTTAGGGCAATTTAGTTATGTTTTCATCATTTCTATTATTTATATCAATATCCTTTCAATGTATACAAGTATATTCAAATTTGGGCATTTATAAGTGGTATAAGCATTAGATTAATTTAAGTATTCTTATAAATATACGGTAGTATATTTAGGACACGATGTTAGTCTTTTAAAGATACCAGGAAAAACTTATCTTGTGAAATCGACATATTATGTCGTGAAAATGAGATATTTTGTTGTGAAAACGACTTCATATCTCGTGAAAACGACTTATTATCTCGTGAAAAAAAAAATAAATTCAATTTAATTTCTCTTGAAAACGACTTATTATCTCGTGAAAAAAAAATAAATTCAATTTAATTTCTCTTGAAAACGACTTATTATCTCGTGAAAACGACATATTATCTCGTGAAAACGACATAATATCACGTGAAAACGAGATAATATCTCGTGAACATGACTTATCATCTCGTGAAAACGAGATAATATCTCGGGAAAATTACATTTTTTTTCGACTTAAGATTGTTTTACATACATTAGATAACCTAATTTAGTAAGTTAGTATTTTGCTATTCCTTGTGAAATCTCTTTCATATTCATTTCTGTTTTCAGATTTATTGAGTAAATTCTTTATGTACGTCCCTGGAATGTAAACACATGCTTAAGTTGAAAATGTACATTGCATTTTTACATTTACAAATGTAAAAATTTGCAAAGTACCAAAATTCCACATCCGATCTTTCATTTCCACGGTGTCGATCTTTCATTTTCAAGATATATTTAGTCGTTTTCACGAGATGATATCTCGTTTTCACAAGATAATATTTCGTTTTCACGAGACAAGTTCTCGTTTTCATAAGATAATAGAGAGGTTAAGCAGAGTACCGTGTACGTATGTCTACGTGTACGTGTAGCTAGGGAAATCCCCTAATTTAATGCAATTTACGTCATCAGTTTTGCATACCTCGTAATTCTACAAGTTGTACACAACGTGTAGATTCGCAAGTACACGTAGGTGAAAACTTGTAACTTCTTAAACTCAAACTACAGAATAAATATTTTAGTCGGTATTTAGTATGAAGTTGAGAGTTTATTACGAACATCCAATGTATCTTTTTTATTTCAAGTCATAGATTTATTTGATACAAATGGATTGTAAAGTGACATGTTGAAATGACGTTTTACACGTACCGGTACACGTTCAATTTGTTAAACAGAACACGACATTTGTTACGCGTACGTATAAAATCACCTCTAGGTTTACACGTACAAGTAGACGTACTCGGTCAAATGCTTAACCTCTCTAGTAAGTCGTTTTCACCGGAAAATATCTTGATTTCAAGAGATAGTATCTCGTTTTCATGAGATAATATCTTTTTTTTTTATTATTTTCATAACAAACACACAAATAAACAAAACCTTTTTTTTCATACATGTTGGAAAAGAAACTAAGTATATTAACAATAGTTTCAAGAACATTTTCAAAATTTGACACATTAAATAGACATTTCCAATTGGACCATCTTTTTTTATAAAAAATATTTTCTGACAGCTTTTCTTTAAAGTTTAATTATATAAAACTCTCAAAATATCTTTGAAAACAATACAAGAGTTGTTTCTGGATTGCTGAAATAAATATTTATTCACTAACAGAATAATCAAGTTTATAGCTAAATGATCTTTTTCAAAACTACCAAAAACAGTCTTTACATCAAATTCAATTCTTTTTTTGAAAAATCCAATTGACAGTGCCAGCCAAACCACAGAAACTTGTGGACAGTAAAAAAATAAAAAAACATATTGAACAAAGTGAGAATCTTTAATTTTAGACAAGTGTAAGTATTTATTTGTACCTAAAATTCATGAATTATAATTGAACCATATCTCTCTTAGTTAAATATTTCAAGTTTGTATAAATATGTTTCCACTTAAAATCAGATTCCAACTTTAAATCAATAGCCCATTTGTTTTCACAAATAGGTCTGTGCTGTATTTTAGACATTAAATGATCATAGATATTTCTGGATCCTTTTTTTAGAAATTCAGGTTGGTATGGTTTACCATAAGTAGTTTTTGACAATTGTTTGACATTTGGCCATGAGTATAAAACTGCTTGCTTTAGTTCCTCATAAGTAGTGAATGGCAACTTAACTAAATAATCATTTGTGATACTTTCATAACTAATAAAATTGCCTTCTTAATTTCACGAGATGATATCTCGTTTTCATGAGATAATGTCTTGTTTTCACTAGATAATATCTTGATTTCACGATGTAATGTATCGTTTTCACGAGATAATGTGTCGTTTTCACAAGAAGATATGTCGTTTTCACTACATATTAAGTCGTTTTCACAAGATAATAATAAGTCTCTTTCACGCGATAATATCTTGTATTCACAACACAATATCTCGTTTTCATGAGAAATTATGTCGTTTTCACAAGATATTATGTCGTGTTCATTAGATAATAATAATAATTATATGGTTTTCACGAGATGATTTTTTCCCGGTATCTTTAAAAGAATAATTACGTGTACTAAATATACTACAGCATAAATGCCCTTTTACGATAAATATTTTTGTTTTATATTTTGAATATAGGAAAATATGTAAAGGAAATTAATATTATAATCGTTATTAGCTCATTTAGAAGAAGCTTCAAGAAAGAGTTACATGTATTTTATTTGTTCTTTTACAAACGTATTACACTGTATCAATTTCAGTAAAATATGATATACATACTGTTAACTAAATAGCATTTTCCGTACATGTTAATGGTACCTGTGTAACCTTTGGTTTGTAGCTTCCCCGGTTAAGAGACCTGCTGACTTTCTCTGGGCATCACCTTCTGAGCAAACTGGTCTAAAGGGGGAAACAATCAAACTCAAGTGTATTTTCAGTGGAAAGTAAGTTGAGCAGGATCATATAATAATTATCATTCATTTAATCTAGAAGACCTTGCATTTGTAAATCGTAGACTATATTAAACTTCAATTTTTTATGGATTAAACTTTTAATGAAGAAAAAAAAAAGCAAAATGAAACAAAAAGCATATAGGGATAATATATTCATGTACAAGTTTCATGAAATATATTTTATCATTTCTACTAACAAAGCAGTCTTTAACATTTTTCTAAACATTGTGTTAAATTTACCAATCGTGCATTGTGTATTACAAAAGTCCCACACCAGACGTGTTCTGGTGGAAAGATCAGAAAAGCCTTCCGGACCATCACGAAGTATCACTTGGGGGACAGGAACTCACGATCGCTAACCTAAAGGAGGACGATGCCGGAACGTACGAGTGTTACGGTACAAACACCCAGGGACCCCGCGCCGTCAGAAATTTTGTCATCAGAGTGGAATGTAAGCTTTTCACCTGTAGTAAGAATGCGTAATCCAATAATAAATGACATCTTAGTTTGATATAATATAATTTTAGAGAAACGGTAAAGTTTTTGAAACAAACCTGAGTTTGAAATGACAGGTACCCTTTCTTTAATTGTTTAATAAACAATTGAGTAAGTGCATGGCAATAATAGTTTTTATTTCGTTAAAAAAATGGGGGAAATGGAATTTTAGTATCTCATTTGAAAGACCCCTTTTGTATATTTAAGAAATGAATTTAATTTTTGAAAATTCATGAGGTTATGAATTACGACGCTTCACGCCGGCATATTTCATGTAGCGCGTTAGCATTAGCGCTTCATGATAAATATGCCGGCGTGAAGCGTTGTAGTTCATATACCTCATGAATCTTCAAAAAATTAAATTCATTTCTTATATTTACATTATTTTTCTGATGACTTGCCATAAATTTACGGTGTTCAACTGTCATTTTTTAAACAAAACAGTGTGCACTATATTTTTTAACTTTTTGACGTCAAGAGCGGTATTATGACGTAACAATGGATGACCATGCTTATTCGTCGTATATACCTAATGTGGTTCATGAGAAAATATACTGCATTTTATTTTGTAAAGAATCATAAGGGGAAATTTATTGGAAATGTAAATATTTACTTGTAAATCTGAATAAACACATACCCATTATATTTCCGAAACCAAATTGGCATGTAATTTACAAATTAACATTAGCCAAGCCATATTGGGAAGTTGAACCAAAAGATGTGGAGACTAGTCCTGGGGCATCTGCTACCTTCATCTGCAAGGTTAATGGTATCCCAGACCCAAAAGTGACATGGTTCATTAATGGAATCAGGCTGGAGGGTATTATACCTTATACTTGCATGTATTAGTTTTTTTAAAATAAATAAATACATACATGTACATGTATTTTTGATCATTTTTATGAAATATTTTCCATTATGTTAATGTTATAGAGATATTTCTAAATTACTCGTATGTTTTTTTACATTTATTTGTTTTTTTTTTTTATTTAAAGAATCTACGGTTCCAATCATTCAAAGTGACAGATTCCTGAAACCTGATGCCAACAATTTGACCTTTGTGAACCTGAACAAAAATGATCACATGGTCATACAGTGTAATGCTTCCAACAAACACGGTTATGTGTTTTCTGATGTCTATCTTAACGTGTTTGGTAAGTTATTCCATTTCAAAATTAAACTTTTTTTTTCAAAACTAAATGATTGGTAAATCATTTTTTGCCGTTGAATTAATGTTTAAGTTCCATACAACTGGCTGCTGACGCAGTCTTAACCTCTACATGGTATATTTATTAATCTACATAAGATTGTAATATACATACGTAAGACTGCCCCGGAAACGCCTTCAAGTAATTTCTTATTTTGAAATTTCCCAGAGGAAGAAACTGTTATCATAGTACCACCTGCTGGTGAGCTTAAAGTCGCAGAAGGTCACAATGCTGAGCTAACATGCTTAACAAGAGGTCAACCGAAACCCATTACTACTTGGTTTAAAGATGGGAAGCCGATACCTGGTTTAAGATACCAAATCCAAACCAACGGAAACCTTTTAATAGAGGTACATCTAAATGTCATATATATATCTCACTCCCAAATTTTATCTGCATTGCACAATATTCATTATACCTTCCACTAGAAAAGAGGTAGGCTATAAAGTGATCGGGATTTCTGTCCGTCTGTATGTCCGTCCGCTTTGGGGTACCCATCTGTTATCCGCAACTTCTCATACCACTGAATGAAATTTGATGAGACTTAATATAATAAATATACATAATACATAATATAACAAAGTACCATAATGATTGTTCACCTCCTATTTTACTCTTTGATCGGACACATATTTCGGTTTACCATAGCAAAACGTAGACACTGTCATTCTTTCTACAATATTGAAGGGTACCTATGTTTTATCCGCAACCTCTTCTTTACCACTGAATAAAATTTGAATATACGTTTACAGATTCTTGATTACATAATGCCATTATGCACCACCAATCTTACTTTTTTTATGGATAAAAGATATGTACCCTTAAACCTGACAGACAAACGGACGGGCAGACGGGCGTACAGACGGATTAGCATTCCGCTTTTCACTTTTCAAGCGAGTGGTATAAAAATACATGTTTTGAACGGGTTCATCACTTTATCATAATATTTATTCATTTAACTATTTTTTTAATCGACGTTATTTCTCAGTGACGTCATTAAGAGTCGACTTGTTTAACAAAATTGAATTTATACCGTTGATGTTCAAAAAATCTCGTGCACGGGTTAAGAGTATAACAACAGTAAGCAACGAATATTTGGGGAAAAAAATACGGCACAAACATTAGTGACAATGGCACACGATTACGTTTTTCGAAATGCAAGATAAACATGTTTCTACCATAATAAGATTTTTCTCACCTGACTAATCTGTTTTTAACATCGCCATTAAGATTTTGAAATGATATTGTATATGTATTTCTAAAATATATTTTGCTTTTTGCATGCTTTTTGACAGAGTGCAGCTTTTTCTGATGCTGGTAATTACACCTGCCATGCCTACAATAAATTTAACTTTGACGAAGCCTCGGGGGTCTTGATCGTAAGAGGTACTATACGTAAACATTAATTTACTTATAAATGCTAATATTTGGAAAATAAAAAAAAAGTAAGCTTTAAGGAATACTTATGGGTTTTTGTTTTTTTTTTTTGTTTGAATGTTCATTAACATCCCACATAAATATTTTTAATTATAAGAAGACGCAACCACTAGCAAATAGGAACAGTAATTGATACGTATGTACAATACTAAGCACTCATGGCAGAAATGGGTCGTTTTAGTGCCATCATCTTTTGCGACAATTGGCCTTAGTTTTTTTTTTACTGTTTACGGTCTGATCCGAAGAACCGGTGTAAAGACGAATAATGACCCCCATCGAATAATGGCCGGGGGTCATTTTTCGACAGCGAAAAATGACTCCCGGTCAATATTCTACGGCGAAAACTGACCTCCAGTCATTATTCGACATAGAAAAATGACCCTTTTGCCCGTAGAAAAAGTGTTTCCACCCTAAAAAATTGCAGAACCCACGTGAAGAAAAATGACCCCCGTAGAAAAATGACTCCCTGTTGATTAAACCTGAAATTTTTAGGGGGCAAAAAAAAATTAGATAAGAAGCATATTTGCCAAAATGCTCACCTGAGCTTATTTGGAATAAATTGTGGATATGTTGATCTCATAACATACGATTATAACTATATTTTAAGGTCAATGCGATGGTTCAGAATCTAAAGGAGTAAAGATTTATCGAGCCTAAAGGGTTAGGTAAACATTGTTTTTCGATAGTGGGAATCATCGTACTGACAGAAAAAATCAGCAGTATCATATATTATTTTATCCTCCGCTTGAAAAGCGGGAGGGTATATATTGATTGGGATGTCCGTACGTCTGTTACGCTTTGGGGTATCCATCTGTTATCCGCAACTCCTCTTATATATAAAAAGATGTATTTGTAAAACAGCTATGCCCCTGTATGGCAACATAGTGAAAATTAAACTTTTCTGAAAGGCAATTTAAATATAATGGTACCCAAAGTAGGGTCTTCTCACAAGAAATACAATTGCAAAATATGAAAGCCCTAGCACCACTTGTTCAAAATTAATGGCTAAGGATAAGTGTTTGAAAGGTAGGTCAAACTCAAAGGTCAAAGGGTCAAAGTTGATGGTTTCTTAAGAAAGGTTTAATGTAACAAGGATTACATTTGTGAAGTATGAGAGTATTAGTATCTACCGTTTAAAAGTTAAAGCCAAAGTAAATGAAATAAAAATTTGGCATTTTTGTGTAAAATGGGACAAACTCCAAGGTAAAGGTCAAAAGGTCAAATTTGTTGGTACCCAAAGTAAGGCCTTGTCACAAGGAATGTACACATATTGAATATGAAAGACAAAGCTACAATAAATGACAAGTTATGGTAAAGGTTAAAGTTTTTGCGGATAAACAGACCGCCAGATAGACAGACAGACATACAAACGGACACGATATAACTATATACCCCCGAATCTTCGATTACAGGGACATAAAAAAGAAATGGTCTTCAATTAGCTTTTCATTTTATGTTACAGTATAAAGAAGACGTTACAAAAATGAAAATGTTTGTTCTGATTTTCATATTAAATTCTCTGAAAAATATACTCAGAACTGGGTAAAATCGTGGAGTAAAACAAGAATTAAGAAATGTAATGAATACTGTGCGCTAAATCAAAAGGTTATGTCTACATATATAGTTTTTGCATTAGAATGTGTATTTTACACTAGCCCATAGCTTTACAGAACATATTTTTAGGTACGTGAAATACCCACCCCACCCCCTTACTTATTTAGGAGGAAGTTGATTATCAGCAAAAGCAACAACAAAAAAACTACCCTACCTTTATTTTTCTATAAGGAGGGACTAAAAATAAGCTTAAAATAATCTACTATTCTACTAATTTTCAACTGTTACTCTGCCACAATACTTTCAAGTATACCCCCACCAACATTTAAAGTATATGCTTTATAATCATGGCGAAGTAAATTATGATACGATCGAACTTGTGTGAAGGCTTAACTTCATTTCAATATTTTATGTAGAGCCTCTTTCGGTATTATTGAAAGGTATATAGAGTTTTATATATATTTTTGCTTTTCATTTATTTTTTGTTTGTTTTGATTTACAGTAATTTTTTTTTTTTGGGGGGGGGGTTAAAAATTTCCTCCTCTTTCATTGTCAAATAGGATTTGCCAAACTTATACAAACTAAAAGTTGAAATGAAGGAAAAATTAATTTTTCTATTAAAGAGTATTGGAACCTGATTGTTGCATGGTTTGATTTCTAAAAACATTAGTGGAATATCATTCTTTAAGCAAACACTATAAGGAGGAATATTAAAAAGAAATTTTATTTACTTGACAATTAAAGAATCTCTTTTCACTCTAAAGGGGGTCATTTTTCAATGGGGGTCAATTTTTTATAGGACTTACATATAAAATAATGACCCCTAGGACACTTTTTCTACAAAAAATGATTTTTTTCTACGGGTAGGGGGTCATTTTTTGTTGTTGAAAAATGACCCCCAAGATTCACACGGATTAAGAGATAATTTAACAACACAGAACAAAAGCAAAGCAAACACGGATCCCAAAAATGTGAGAGGTGGCACGAGATAACACCAATGAGTATTTTGCATCCACTGCAGCCCACACAGCCGGCCGCCGTTTTTCTTTTGTCTTCATAGAAAAATGACGAAAAATTTGTCAAAATCATTGTTTCTTCATCTAAAGGTTACGAAAACAATTAAAGTCTTCTTAGACCTTTACGTTTCAGTGAGCGGCGCTGGGGGTAAAAATTAGTGATTAAAAACAGGATAAAAGAGATAAAAGCGTGTGTACCAGCTTGTTTTCAACTTCTCCGATTAGACCAATCCGACTATCCTAGCGGCCCTGGGATCTAATAATTACAATCGGCATATGCAGCTCCAATCTTCGCTGGGATGTACTTACAAGCTGTTTGCAGTGACCTAACATTTATTAATAAAATGTCAGTCCAGCATTTGACTGTTTATATTTTCTGACAAGGTCATTGTATCGATCAAAGAACTTACGAAATTATGGTTTTCAACGAGATTTTTGATATCATCTCAATAACTTACTTCGTCTTAGAAATTTTCAAACGTTGAGCAGGTCCTTGCATATCGAATCATTTGACTGATTTGAACCCTGTATGCAGGTGATAAGAGTATCTTGTTGCCTAAATAAGGAAAGTTAACTATTGAAAAGTTAATATGAGGGCTGATCCAAAAGTATTGTCACATTTTCAAAAACATTTATGCGACTTTATATCATTTTCAAATACTATATATCAAAATATGTAATATTAAATCTATTACCATTGAGAGTTTGGTTAAATTATGTTAAATTAAATTCATTTCATTCTATAGATGAATGATGTCCTTACAATTAGCATAATAAACGTCAGTCAGCGTTTGATTTAATGATAAATTGTATTTGATGACAAGACCATTGTATCGACCATAGAACTTACGAAATGAAGACTTTAAACGACACTGTTGATATTATACAATTATGGACTTTGTAGTAGTTCGATATGTGGTTTTTAAGGTATACCTTTACTCAGATGACTAAAAATTTCACTAATAAGAACGAAAAACCACCTATTGCACATTGTTCACTTATGATTCTTGTGTTAAATTTCATTTTCAAATAACTAGGGCAGTGCATACTAATGTTTTAATCTTAAGGTTATACTTCAGAATCAAAAATATGTGATTTGCAGGGTTCTCCATGGTCTGTTTAACGTAGCGGCCCCGCCATATTTAAATTCCTAAGCGCCACGGTTAAAATATTAGCGCCATAGTTCCGCCACAGTTTAAATATTAGCACGGTCACCACATTAATATCAACTTTATCAGTACAATTAATATATAAATTTAGTAATAAAAAAACCTCTAGACCTCAAAATTATGTACCGTTTTTAGTTTCGTTTTGTTTGGCTTGCACAAACAATTATCTTCAAGACTTCGCTGGACACTAGTAGCTTTTTTCACACTTCACGACATTTACGAAGAAAAATTTATTTTAATCATCAATTAGTTCATGCTTAAATAGTAATACAGTTAGTTATGCTGTCTCTAACATTGCACGTGGACAAAACTTCGTATGTGTCTTATGTGACCTACCAGAATTTCATCTGCCCTTTAATGAACACGTACTGTATGTGTATATTTACCTAATTTAAAAAAAAACATTTTCTTTTTTAATTTAGGGTTAAATACTTAAATCCTGTTATTACTGATACTTTTTCCCAGATTCTATAAGGAAATATCTTATTATCTTAGTACGTATGCCTGGTGTGATTGGGAGGGGGTGGGTGGTTTTTAGGTCACCTGAGTAAACTCAGGTGACATATTGCTATCTGTCTTCGTCCGTCGTCGTTCGTCGTGCGTTAACATTTGAACATTTTTAACTTCTTCTCTGAAACCACGGAACCAATTTCAACCAAATTTGGCATATAGCATCTATGGGTAACGAGGAACAAAAATTGTGAATTTCATGTTCCCTGCCCCCCTGGGGCCTGGGGGTGGGTGGGCAAAAACCACTAAAAGTAGTGCAATCTTTAAAAATCTTCTTCTTTACTCCTGGACATCAAGCAGTCAAACTGTTGGTGTGATTGTAATCAGCACTGAGTCCTCTACCAAAATTATGAAATTCATGGCCCCAGGGTCAGAGGTTCTAGTGCTAGGGCGGGGCTAAACAGGTTATATAGTGAAAATGCATTATTTCTTTGAAATTCTTCTTTTCTGCTTCTGGGCATTAAATAAACTAACCAATTAAAGTGTATAGGTAAGTTGAAAATGACCGACTCTTCCAAAATTGTGAATTTTATGGCCCCAGGATATATAGGGTTTTGGTGTTAGGGCGGGACCATTGGTTATATAGTGAAAATGCATTTATTCTTTGAAATTTCTTATCTGCTTCTGGGTATTAAATAAACTAACTAAGTACATATATATATGAAAAATCAAAAATCTTCTTCCAAAATTGTGAATTTTTTGGCCCCAGGGTCAGGGGTTCTGGTGTTAGGGCGGGGCCCTATAGATTATATAGTGAAAATGCAAAAATTCTTTGAAATTCTTCTTCTCTGTTCATAGGCATTGAATAAACTAACTAAGTGCATAGCTATGTTGAATAAGGAAATATCTTTAAAAATCCTCTTCCAAAATTGTGAATTTCATTGCCCCTTAGGTAGTGGGGGTTCAAGTTTGGTGTTAGGGCGGGGTTTTATTGATTATATAGGGAAAATGCAAAATTTTTAAAATCTTCTTTTCAAGTACCTCAAAGCTATGATTAGTGATATTTATATGTGCATAGTTATAAGGTAGGTAGATTCTAGTTTGTTCAAATGATGAAGATTTTTGAATTGCAAGCCCGATGTGCTCAGGTGAGCGCTGGGTTAGGGCCTCTTGTTTAATTTAGGGGCTTTAATGTTCATATAGTGAAAATGCATGAATTCTTTAAGGAAAATATTTTCCTTTGTTGTTGGGTATAATGCCAATGAGCTTAGTATATATTTATGACAAAAAACATGACATCTTCCAAAAATGGTTAATTTCCTGGCCCGTCGTGCGTTAACATTTGAACATTTTAACTTTGGAAACCACTGAACCAATTTCAACCAAATTTGGCATATAGCTTTGAAATCTGCAAAAATTTGATGTTAATCAACAGCAAAAAATAAAAGTAGTGCAATTTTAAAAATCTCCAAAATTTTTACTCCTGGACATCCAGGTCAAACTGTTGGTGTGGTATGGGGAGCAACTGTCCTCTACCAAAATTGTGAAACATGGCCCCAGGGTCAGAGGTTCTAGAGCTAGGGCAGGGCTAAACAGGTTATATAGTGAAAATGCATTATTTCTTTGAAATTCTTCTTTTCTGCTTCTGGGTATTAAGTAATAAAATAAACAAGCTGAATTATGTATAATTATGATAAAATGGTGCCTCTTCCACAATTGTGAATTCTATGACCCCAGGGTCAAGGGTTTTGGTGTTAGGGTTGGACTCTATTGGTTATATAGTGAAAATGCATTTATTCTTTGAAAATCTTCTTATCTGCTTCTGGGTATTAAATAAACTAACTAAGTACATAGTTATGATGAGCAAAGAGTGCCTCTTCCAAAATTGTGAATTTTTTGGCCCCAGGGTCAGGGGTTCTGGTGTTACAGGGGCCCATATTATATAGTGAAAATGCAAAAATTCTTTGAAATTCTTCTTCTCTGTTCATAGGCATTGAATAAACTAACTAAGTGCATAGCTATGTTGAATAAGGCTGCCTCTTCCAAAATTGTGAATTTTATTGCCCCATATTTGGGGGTTCTGGTGTTAGGGCGGGGCTTTATTGATTATATAGTGAAAATGCATAAATTCTTTAAAACTCATCTTTTCTGCACCTGAGTATTTAACCAAAGAACTACGTGCATAGTTATAAGGAGGAAGGGTGCCTCTTTGAGATTTTTGAACTGCAGGGTCCCTGGGTTAGGGCTTCTTGTGTTAGGGCGGGGCTTTAATGTTCATATAGTGAAAATGCATGAATTCTTTGAAAATATTCTCCTTTGTTGTTGGGTATAATGCCAATGAGCTTAGTATATATTTATGACAAAAAACATGCTTCTTCCAAAAATGGTTAATTTCCTGGCCCCTGGTACAGATCATGGTACTTTGGGAGGGAGGTGTAACATAGTCTGAAATAATTGAATGCTTTGAATTCTGCACTTTAATGTTAATCAACAGCAAGATGAAATAAGATTTTAAAAAACGTCCAAAATTTTGGAAGATGTGGCCCCAGGGTCAGTGGTTCCTGTGGTATGGGGAGCTCAACTGTGGACCCGCCCTAACACAAGAAGCCCTGACCCAGGGGCCCTGAAATTCACTAAAAGTGGAAATGCATTTTCTCTTTGTTACTTTGTTTCTTCCTCTGGGTATTAAGTAACCAAAATAAACATGCTGAATTATGTATAATTATGATAAGCAATGGTGCCTCTTTCAAAATTGAGAATTTCATGGCCTCTACTGGCTCTAATTTAAAACATGAATCAAATTCAATTGTTGGAAAGTTGTCGCATGATACTCAGGTGACCTATAAGGCCCATGGGCCTCTTGTTTTTTCACAGAAGACATATATGCGGAAATAATGTTATTCTAAATTGACATAAATTTGTTATAATCATTATTAAATTTATCAATTATTTTGGCAAATAATTCATGTTGTTTCTATTTGAATTTAATATTGATTCATAGGCGATGTGTGTTTTTCAATCTATTTCGGGTTCCTTCGCGAATTTGGCCGCGATATGACCGCGAACATTAGTATTTCGAGCAATTCTTGCGCACGGTGAAAATTGAAATGTTGGAGAACCTTGAAGGGATGTTAAACTTTTTTAAACAAAGCTGTATACAGTATTTATGAATTTTGAGCATTAGTGTTAAGGTGAAAAGTAGTATTGTCCTACATAAAGAAAAAACAGTTATTAAGCTGAAACGCCCACAGAAATAATACAGTCACATGTGGTGGGGGATAAATAAAGAACCTCTAAAACATTAGGAGTGGTATCGGGTACTATGCCGGGGGGGGGGGGCAGTATGTCAGTAAACAATTCATACTTAATGATAGCTAAGTTTGTATTTGCTGACAAGGTCATTATATCGACCTTTACTTTAAACCAAGACTGTTGATATTCTTGTGTCATCAATTTACTTGTCAATAGTGAAGAAAATGTTTATATACGAGGGGTTATCAAAAAGTTCGTGGACTGAGGCTATAAAATTATTACTATGTTGTCTGAGCTTACAAATTTTTAAAGGAACATGAAACAACAAAAAATAAAGAAATGTTGAAAATATTAGCTTGATATGTTCAGTATTTCCCAAGTTATTATAAAATAAAAACGACATTATATCATCACCCGGCGCCGTCGTCGTTTAGTTTCATGACGTCCGACAACGCCATTGTTTTTCAATGCCTGCTTCTTCTACCTCATACACTTATTTTGATGAGATTCTCTGGAGCTGAGTTCGGACTTCAATCCGTCTTGATTATATGACTTTACAATACCATGAACAGCGGCTTTCAATGCATATAATATTGCAAATGGATTCATACATTCGGAGAGATCCTCACTTGATTTTGCCAGCATATTTTGCTTTTTAGAGTTCAATATCTACAACGCATGATCAACGTCATTTTTTGACTTGATTGATTTTTCACACCTTGACTACAAATCGACATTACCTGTGCCCCTTTTTTCTCTCTGAATCTATTTTGGCATTAAAAACAAGTACTCTGGATGCGTATTATTTCTACATAGCCAGTTTAAACATTTCCTAGGTCTATACCATTTTTTTTCAGAGGCAAGACTTTAAAAAATGTTTGAAAAGGACACCCCTCCCCCTTTTCGACGTCATTTTCAAGCAATATTTGTTTGGATACTACATGTAAAATTTACGATAAAACTTCATGGAACTTCCAGAATAAGGTAAAAAATTCCACACTTTATGGAGCAATAATGTCCCAACACATGCCTGAATTAACGGGAGTTTTGGATGTCAAATATTTATATTAAAATATTTTTTCTCAGTTACACCTAGGTCGAAAAAACGTCGTTTTCGAGGTTGCGCCGCCTGGACATACCATTGCTTACAAAATCATTACTAATTTATTAAAAAATAAAATATATGGTTTGCGGTTTATTGTATAGATAGAAAAGATGATGCTAACTAGATATTTCAAAATTCATTGATGTACCTAAAGCGATTTTATTTTTATGGCGCTAGTCCACGAACTTTTTGATACTCCCTCGTATGTATGGCATGCTCTAGATTTTTGAATCAGCTTGGGCCATAACCTTGATTAGTAAGGTGATAATGATATGTTGATAAATAAATAAAAGAAGTTGACTAATAAAAAGTTTGTCATTACGTTTTTCAAAATATTAGATAACCAATTACACAAGGTCGACCGTGTGACGCCGTGGTAAAATCTTTTGCTTTAGAGTCAAGGATTAAGCACCTCCTAACTTCACAGTTTAAAATACCAATTTTGGTCGGGGGGGCTGAGGCTTCGGATATGACCTATAAAATGAGGTCGCGTGTCGCAGTAGGTGCTGGCATAAAAATATTAAGTATTCAAAGCCCTTGACTGACACGTAAAGGTTTAAACTTTCAGTCGTCAATCGGCAAATTGTGGCCTTTCAATATGAGTGAAAATTTCTTGAATGTCAGTCAAACAAAACGTTTTGGACTTTTATGTATTTCAAACATTTTGCAGCCAAGACCAGGATTGTACAGAGTCCTCATGGATTAACAGTGACTGCAGGGCGCGAAGCAACATTCAATTGTTCGGGTACTACAGATTCCGCTGAGATGAAAAATCTGCAAATTTCGTGGCTGAAGGATAACAAACCAGTTCTTATAGATCTATATGCCTATCGAGTGACGCAACAGAATGGGTCACTGATCATATATGATACCTTTGTCCTAGACTCTGGAACATACACTTGCGTCATATCCAATGGATTAGACAGTGATTCTGCTGGGGCTATCTTGACAGTGAAAGGTAAATTATTTTCCTGAGTTTTCTGAAGAAAAAAAATATGAACGGTGCAACTTTATATTTCTTGACGTAATCCGTTTTTAAAGATTGCATGACCTTATTCTGAAGTCGTTTGATAAACTTAATAAATTTTGATTTGAGATGATATGGTAAAAAAAGGAAAATTGAGAGAGTAATATTATACTGTGTGTTTTATCGAGAGTGTAACAAATTCTATTTGTAATGATGTGACTCTTCATCTTAGCAGAAAACCTAATCAATATGCCTAACATATATATTTACAGATAAACCCGAGCAACCGAGAGATGTGGTTATGGATGCATGTATGAACACGTTGGCAGAAATCCGTTGGACTGCAGGGGCATCTAACAATGCACCGATTTTGTATTATACTATTCAGTACAACACATCCTTTAGTCCTGATGTATGGGTGACTGGGACCAGAAATATTTCGGCCACCCAGAACACTGGACGTGTCTATCTTTCTCCTTGGACAAATTACACATTCCGTGTTTCAGCTACAAATGAGATTGGTACCACGCCTAGCTTACAGACATTGCAAAAATGTTCGACTGACGAGGCCAGACCAACTAAAAATCCAGAGAATATCCGCACCATTGGAAACAAGAAAAACTTTCTGATAATTGAATGGATGGTATGTTTTGTAACAATATAACATCAAACAAATTTAGTGCAGGAGACATGTTTTAGATATTCATAAAAAGTTACATGTCCAATATGACATTGCAATTAGATCTTAACTTGACTAATATTAAATTAAACTGGACAAACAGACACATCTATCAAGTATCTTTTATAATAACTATATCTTTTCTGCTACTTGATTATGCAGTTCACCTTTTACCCAGTGTTAAAGACACATATATACATACATTAGATTAGGCCAGTATTTTACTTTGTTTTATTTTTTCTCAGTCTATGCCCCCCATTGAGCACAATGGTTGGGGATTTCGTTATGTCTTGACCATTCGGAGAGACGGGCCTGACTTTTATGACATTAATACATTCAGCATCTCAGATTGGAGAATATCACACTGGGAGCAACAGACTAATGACATCTTTACGCCATACATCATAACAATTAGAGCAACCAATGTAGTTGGCGACTCAACTGCACGAGTACAACAGGTCAAAGGTTACTCGGCCGAGGGAAGTATGTCATACATGTATCCATATAATACTTTTACTGGCTTTTTGAATTTAAATAAAGGTTTATTCCGTACTTATTTCTTGGAATATAATTCTTCAGATTTATTGTATGCTAATGTTTTATTTCAAGAGACAAATATATACATTTTTATATTAATGTATTAATAAAAATATTTAAATTCAATTGTTTCAATAACATATCAAGTTTTTAAATCCTTTGAATTTTTATTTTCAGTCCCTACTATCGCTGTGACAGACTTTACCATTGACCAGACCGTCACGGAGTCCTCTGTCACCTTCTATTGGGACTGGGACGAGAACCTTAACACCCCACAGCCAGGCACCCCCGTACAGGGCATCTTCAGGGGATTCAAGGTTGGGCTTATCATAAAATATTTGCAAAGAATTACTGTTTATCAGGGAAAATCCAATTTAAGGTCATACGCAGTGTAGTTTGAACTTTATTGGGTTCTTCCCTGGAGTTGAAGAGTTCCACTAAATGAAGGACCCGTGTGCAATACTTTTAATGTCTATATATGGATTTGTACACCTCTTCTAAAACAATATTTGATGAAAAAGAATCTGGAATTTATGTTTTGTAATTTTTGTGCATTTTTCTTTGAATAATGCAAAAATTTTAAATTTGATATTTTCAAAACCCCTGGTAAATGCTGATTTTTTTTTTATAAGAACATGAAATGGTATTGTAAATCCAAGTTTAATCTGAAAAATTACAGGATTTTGCTATCTTTTGAAATATAGATTATGATATTAATGATGTAAATTATGATACATTAATTACACTGTACATATAACAATAAGTAAAATCTTCAGATATCTTAAATAATTTCCCTTGGTTGATGATGATGACAAAATTTCATTGTACCTTTATACATATATATCAGATTCAGTACTGGGTCAGAGGTCAGAAGGAACAAACATTCCAAGAGGCCGAGATTCCCGTCAGTGAACTCACTCTTAGATACGCAAGACGCAAGAAGCGGGCCACCCAGTCTTATAAATTCACCCTAGTGGGCCTGCAGGGAAATCAGGATTACGAGGCTCAGATGAGGGTCATGAACACATATTACGCAGGGCCACCTAGTGTCACTGTTTCATTTGCTACTCTCTCGGACGTTTCTCCTAGTCAGGAATGTAAGTTGACAAGACTTATTTACTAATTGCCATTTTTTCAAAAAAAGATAATAGCTTTTCAAATTATAATTAACAAATATATTATGTCTTATCCCATGCTTACCCCTTTGTTACAGCTCACTGGATATCGTTTTCGTATCCCACAGTTCTGACATATGCGATAGCGTAATGAAGTAAAATAATTTGGAGTCCTATATATAGCAGAATTAAACTGCATGTCTAAAACATTGAATGTGAATATTAAACATGACATAAAAAGAATCTCCCATGATTTGTAGTTGGATATAATTTTTATCCAACCCATGTGTTTTATGACCTCGCCAAGGCTCGGGAATAAAAACACACAACTCGTTGCATAAAAATCATATCCAACTACAAATCATGGGCGATTCTATATTATTTATTTAAATACTTGATAATGCTGCTGAAGTGGGAAATTATTTATAAACATTTTATTTTTCCATGTCAGTGTAGTTGAAGTATTGATTAGAGGTACTTGTTATTAATGTGGATATCTGTTATCTTTCAGGAAGTCTGGATCAGTCAGAAAACATTCAGTACATGCTACAATCAGGAAATATCTTTAGAACGCGAAAGAAATCAAACTCATATATAATGAATATATAATCGTTTGAAAGTCAATCTCTTATAAGA